CGTACTATTATTATTATTATTATTATTATTATTATTATTATTATTATTATTATTATTATTATTATTATTATTATTATTATTATTAACTAACAAATAAAATAAAAAACGTATTTAATACGTAATAGTTTGGGTTGTAAATTAAATATTATTATTATTATGTTTATTATTTAAATAATTTCAATAAATTCAAAATCGATTTTAATTTATTTATTTATAATTGTAATGATGATAATAATAATATTATTAAATGGACACGATTGTTTTTTTTTTTTTGAACGTTTGAAAATGAAAAAACGCGAATATTTTTAAAAGGATTGTTATTAATGGATGGTGTGAAGAAGAATAAGAACGTAAAACAAACAAACAAACAAACGAAAACATGTCCGACAAACGGAGAAATAATAAAGAGAAAAATAAAAATTTGGATGTGGAAACGTGCAAAAGGGAAAAAATTGTAAATACCGGAAATCGTTTCGATTCTCGCGGTAGCAACGCGGGAGATTTATTTTAATCGTTTCCTTCCCTACCTCCCCGCCCCCCTTCCTCCCCCGAAGGACAACGTGAAGAGTTTTAAATTAAAAAAAAAAAAAAAAAATTTAAATAACACGTCGTGAAAGTATTTGGAAAAACAACGGAAAAAAAAAATTCTACGACATTTCTAACTTTTGCAAGGAAACCGCAAAAAAAGAAAAAAAAAAACCGTTAAACTCAACCGGAAATACATGAATTTTTTTTTTAAAGAGAAATAAATATAAAATGGAAAGAGAAACGGATAAAAACAAAAATTCAATGAGTAAATTAATTAATTACATTAAACATTTAGATATTTTTAGCTCCGGGATAAAATTTTCTAATGCGGATTTACTTTTTCGTGATTGATTTCCGGTTGTTGACGCAAACGGATTTTGAAATATATATGTATAAATTTTAAACTCGTGGAAAATTCTAGAAATTTTTAATTAAACCATTAATAATAAAATTTTTCTCTTTTTTTTTTTTTTATTCAATTTTTATTCGAATTTAATCGATTCGAAATAAAAATTTTCCGGAGCGTTCATATAAATATAATAAATACGAGGAATGATAAAATCGAAAGGAAAATTTTTTTTCGATGATGATGATGATGATGATAATAATAATAAATTTTACGTCTTTTGATTGGTTTTTTAAAAATTTATTTTAATAATATTTTAAATAAATTAATTTTCTAAATAATTAACGAATGCACTAATAATTAAAAAAAAAATCACTTTGTTTGTTTTTTTTTTTAAATTAATAATAATAATAAAAATAAAAAAAAAATTATAAATAAAAATTTTATTTATTTATTTATTTTGATTTTGGTATCGGCTGCTATTTAATAACGATATATATATATATATATATATATATATATTTATATAAAATTATATTTTGTTGTGTTTGTTATTGTTTTATATAGTATCAAACTATAATTTCACGATAAATTTTTTTTTATTTTTTTAAATTAGATATTAAATTTATCGATTTCGGTCATGAAATGTTTGTTATATAAAATTTAGTGGTTGTTGTTGTTGTTAAACACACACACACGCACAAAAAAGAAAAAGAAAAAAAAAAAAAAAACAATTGTTATCATCACGAATTTTCTAGAATTTTTTATTTTTTTATTTTTTTGTCTTCTAACAAGCATCATTTAAGTAAAAAGAAAAAAAAAAATGAAATAAATAAGATGAAAAGTATTATTAATATTATTATTATTATTATTATTATTAATATTATTAATTCATTTGAGCCTATTTGAACTTTTCTTGTTGTTGTTTTTTTTGTATTAATTTAATTTTATGCGAATGTATTTTATTTTATTTTAAAAATTATAAATTATTATTATTATTATTATTATTACTATTATTATTATTATTATTATTATTATTATTATTATTATTATTATTATTATTATTATTATTATTAATATTAGTTAATATTATTTTTATTTAAATTATACGCCGCGTAAATTTTTGGGATTTTTCCAAATTAGCATATCGGCGATGCCAACGGTGGCGGATTCATTGAGTAATGAGATGGCGGAGGAGGCGGGGGTGGAACGGAACCGTTTCCCGCCCAGGGTTGAAGATTTTGTAAAGCGTTCAGGCTCGTGTTATCACCGGAAGAACCCGGACCGGGTACTGGTACAGCCGGCGACCTTTCCGAATGGTATATACCTTTGCTTAATGCTTCCGCTTGAAGTGACATCATCAAACGATTTGCTGCTTGACGTTCGGCTTCCCGTTCTTCGGCCGTTTGCCTCCTGAAAAACGCAAAAAAAAAAAAAAAAAACGAAAGCGTTAAAATATGGCGGTCAAAAAAAAGGAAAATTGGATTTAAATAAATGGAGTGATGATAATTAATTGTAAATAAAAAAGAAAACAACAACTAAAACTAAACAAAATAATAATGAAACAGGAACCGAACGATCCGACCAATGAGAAAAAAGAAATTATTATTACATTCAAAAATAACACATACATAAGACTAAATTATGGCGTTGTTGTTGTTGTTATTATCATTATTATTTATTCAAGAAAAAGAAAAATTTTTTCTGCAATGAAAAAATTTATTATAATTAAAATCGTAAAACTTTATTTAACAAAAAAAAAAAAAAAAAAAAAAAAACAACCGGAAAAGGAAACAAAAAAAAAATTAATTTTTCAAAAATAAATAAATAAAATTTTTAATTTTCAATGAAAGGAAAGGAAAAAAAAAAAAAAAAATTTCTAGAATTTTCCAATAATAATAATAAAAAGGGAATTTACATACAATTTATTTATTTATTTTTTTTTTTAAATATCGTAAATTGAATTAAATCGGTATTAGTTTTTTGTGGGGGGCGGGGGGTAAGGGGAAGGAGTAGGAAAAGGAGAAGGTTAAAAAGAGGTCAAAAAGGAAAAAAAAATGTATGGCGGGTCCTCCGAATGCGTTCTTGGAGATTTTTCTTTTTTTTTTTTTATCCTAGTTTTTTTTTTTTTGCCGGTTTTCCGGGAGTTTTGATTTCCCTCAAGACGTTAATTTATTTCCATTGTATTTTACTTTTTTTTTTTTAACTGGAAAATGTTTTCCCTTTTTTTTTTTTATTACATGTTTAAACAATTTAAACGTTAAAAAACAAAAACAATTATATGTATATATAAATTTAATTAACGAAATTTTAAAGTTATTAATTATTATTATTATTATTATTATTATTATTATTATTATTATTATTATTATTATTATTATTATTATTATTATTATTATTATTATTATTATTATTATTATTATTATTATTATCATTATTATTATTATCGTTTTTCTTTTTTTAAACGTGATATCATACGATATCGGGTTTGATTAATTTATCAAAAGTGATAAATGACAGTGTAATTAAGTGCGTTCTATCAAATATTTAAACTTTCATTAGTTTGTGTTTTGTTTGCGCCGTTTGTTGCTTTCTCCTCCCTCTATCTCCCTCCCTCTCTCTCTCTCTCTCTTTCTCTCTCTCTTTCTCTCTCTCTTTCTCTCTCTCTCTCTCTCCTTTCTCTTTTTCTCTTCGACAATCGAAATGGAATTTTAACAATATCGAAAATATTTGTTTTTTTGTTTGTTTGTTAAGGGACGTCGATCCCCCGAATTTAAAATTTGTTAAAAGGAAAACGTGGTTGTTATTGGATGACGACAACCCGTAGTCATCGTAGAATCTCAAGGGTTGATGATTTTCTTCTTATTTTTCCCCTTTCGTAGAGAGAGAGAAAGATAGATAGGGATGAAACACGACGTCATCATTGTGAATTTCTTCAAGGGGTTGATTATATAAAACTGACAAGAAAATCTTGGAATGGTTGATTTTCTTTTCACTTTCTTTTTTTTTTTCTTTTTTTTCTCTTAACTTTTGTGTGGAGTGATTAATCGCGTAAAGTTTTCCCGTTAAAACGTTTAATAAAAATTATTATTATTATTATTTGATATTACAAACTAACAAACGAACAAACAAAGGAAACTTGTAAAAAAAAAAAAAGGAATTTTGTTGAGAATTGTTTTAAAACATTTTATTTTTCGTTGTTTTCAGGAGTTTCTCCACGGGGGTAACTGATTGACGTTTAAAGTGCATTCGATTCCATTGCAATGGAAAAACATTTTCTTTCAATTGATGAATATTTGACAAAGGTAAATACAGTTTTTGCTACGGTTAAATAATTCAATGCGTAAAAATAAATGATTCAGTTTTGTTATTGAATATTTTATTGTTAGGATTTTAAACTGTCACCAAAGATATAGTCTTCATTTGCTGTATCAATTTTCATTTGTTTTCTCCCTTAAGTTTTGTTTCACGTTTTTTTTTTTTTTTTTTTCGTTTTGTTTCCCGTACCTTTAACGTGGATTGTTAAAATACTTGAAAGAAAAGAAACGACGCCATTTTGAAAAGAGAGAAAGAGTGAGAGAGAGAGAGAGAGAGAAAAATCAATGAATGACACACGTTGATTTAATGGTTTAAAATGTTTTCTTTTTCTTTTTTTTTTGTAAAATGAAATGTGAAAAGCAAAAAAGGAAAAAAAAGAAAAAAGTTGAAAAGAGAGAGGGGGAAGGGAAAGAAAATTTAGAGAAAGTAATTTTTGAAAAAGTAAAAGTTTTTAAAACCGGTTAAGATGTTTTTAAATAAGATGAGAGAGAGAGAGAGAGAGAGAGAGGGGGGGGGGAAAGAGAGAGAAAAGTCCTGACATGTAATGTCGCTTAATAAAACTGAAAGCTTTTAGGAAAAGTTTTTTTTTTTTTTTTTTTTTAAGCTTTTACCGTTAATTTTAATTTTAATTTTTTTTTTCTTATTTAGAATTTTTTACTCGATTTTAACAAATTTAAAGTTAATTTTATTTTTACCTTTTTAAATGATTTAACTCGTTTAATAAATAAAATAGAGAGAGAAAGAGAGTAAGAGAAAGAGGAAGAGAGAGAAAGAGGAAACGTTACTTTCCATTATATGTTTATTCTATTGTTTTTTTTTTTTGAGGGGGCGAGAAAAAGGGGAAAATGATAATATTAATAATGATAATATTTGATTTTTTACGTGTGTGTGTGTGTTTTCTTTTACAAAGGAAAATAAAAGGAAAAAAAAAATAAAAGAAAAGGAAAGGAAAAATCGAGTTGAAAATCAAGTTTTTAAAAAAGGAGAGAGAGAGAGAGAGAGAGAAAAAAGAACCGAGTTTCTATTGCGTGTGAATAATTAAAAAAGTTATAAAAGAAAATAAAGCACTTTTCCTGTCGTTTCTCTTCCATCTTTTTCCGTTTTTTTTTATTATTTCGAGCTCGGGAAAAAAATCTTTCATCCGGAAAATTTCAAAATTTTGATTCTTTATAAAGTCTTTAGACAGTTTAGACAAGTTTTTAACTAGTTTTAAATAAAAAAAAAACTCTGACTTATATTTTTCCTCTTTCCGTCACATTATTATTATTATTGCCCCCCCTCTCTTTCTCTCTCTCCCCGTTTTTTTATATTTTTAATTCGCACGACAGGAATTTTCAAACAAAAAAGAAAAAAAAAAGGGAAAAAATTACTTTATTATTAATTTATTACATTTTTTGTGTTTCCCCCTTCCCCATCGGTTAAAATGATTTAATGTGAAATATTTAAAAGAAAATTTAAACTTTTTTCTTATGAAAAAAGAGAGGGAGTTGGGGAGTGGGGAGAGGGGAGAAGGGGTAAAAAAATGAGGAAGAAGAGGAAGGCAATCAGAGTAAATAAAATGATGAAATATTATAAGAAGTCAAAAAACGAAGGGAAAGGAAAAGAAAAAAAAAGGAAAAAAGAAAAATATGAAATGAAAAAGAGAGAGAGAGAGAGAGAAAGAAAGGTAGAGAAAATGTAAAGTTTTTTCCTTTTTAAGGGGCTTTAATTTAAATAATAATAATAATAATAAGGAAAGGGTTACGAGGGAGAGAGAAAAAAAGGGGGGAGGGGGAGGGGAAAAAAGAAAAATAATTATGAAAATTTTCATCTGGATTATTTAACATTTAAATTAACTGAAAATCTTCTTCTTCCTCTTTTTCTTTTTCTTTTCTTTTTCTTGCGGTTTACCTTTTATAATTAATTTTTAATATTATTAAATGCGACAGCCTATTTTTTACCCTCCCCCCCTTTTTTTTTGAATGCACAGACACGCACACGCGCGCACACACCCACCCACCACCCCCAAACACACACACGAGTACGTATTTATATGAATATTTATTTATTTTTATTTTGTTTAAATTTTAAAGAAACGTATAGAATTTTCCTTTTTTTTTCAACGTTTTTTCCCTAAATTTTTCCTATCCATTGTTTTTGTTACAAAATGTTTCACGTTAGACTTTTTTTGTTTCCCATTCTCTCTCTCTCTTTCTCCCTCACTCTCACTCTCTATCTCACTCGTGATAAATTCGTGTGAAATTTTTTTTGATTGATTAATGTTGTAAAAATTTTCCTCGTTTTTTTTTTTTTTTAAAAGAAGAGAAAGAAGAGAAAGAAAAGAAGAGAAAAAGTTCAAACAAAGTCTCGAAATTAAAATTCACTCCCGTTTTTCTCATTTTTCCCCCTCCCCCTCCCACTTCTTCCTCCTCCACCTCCTCCTACTTCTCCTACACTTTTCACTCCGGTTCCTGTTTTAAAAAAAAAATGGCGGCGTATGTTTTCGGTATGAAATATCGCGGGTTTTTTGCGGTGAAATTTATTATTATCATTATTATTATTATTATTATTATTATTATTATTAGCAAATTTTTGAATTTTATTAATTGCTACGATTCGGGGAAAACTACTCGTTGTAAGCTCAACACGTTTTTATTTTTTATGTTGTTGTTTTTCTTTTTCGTTTCTCTATTTCAAGAGGGTTAAAAAAAAAGAGAAGAAGAACGTAAGAAAAGGGTGTAATAATTATACGAGAAATGATGATGATGATGATGATAATAATAATAATAATAATAATAATAATTTTTATTTAGTTAATTATAAAATGTTTCTTTTTTTTTTTCAAAAAAAAAAAAAAGAAGATGTTTACTTAATTGAAACGAAAGAATTAATCCTTACAGGGATTATAAAAAAAAGGGTTGTTTTCCCATTAAATTCTTAACACAAGAAAATTATCCATAAGCGATAATTAAAAAAGAATTTTTATATTTTTTTATTTTCTTTCCTTTTTTCTTTCCTTTTTCGCCTTTAAAAAAAAGGAAAGGAAAGAAAAGAAAGGAAAAAAGAATTTTCCTTTTAAATGTTTTTTTTTATTAACTTGTATTTTAATTTTAATTTATTAATAATGATGTAATTAGTATCAAACTTTTTCGCATAGCCTCCTAATATTTCTTTTTTTTATTTTTTATTGCTCTCAGTTTTATTATTATTATTATTATTATTAATTAATTAATTAATTAATTTTTATCCTTTTTTTTATACATAAATAAAAATGGATTCGAAATCAGGCACGTTTGAAATAGGAAAAAAAAAATCGTTAAATCGAATTTAATAATAATAAGTATATAGAACGCAATCGCAATGGAAATCTGAAAAAAATTGTTTTTTTTTTTTTGTAATTTAATTATTTTTCAGTTCGGTCGTTTAAATTAATTTTCGGGAATTATTAAAAAAACAAAAACAAAAACGGAAACGGTTAACAAAATGGAAAACGTAACGAAACAAAGGAAAAAAAAAAAAAATGGTAAAACAACACAAAATGTTTTTTCTATCTGACAGAGACAGGTCAGCTCTAATTTTTAAACACACTCGGGATCCGTC